GACAGCAACTTGTCTGTTCCCCTTCCCCGATTCCCCAATAAAATCTTTAAAAAAATAAAAAACCTTTACAAAGAAAATCAGGAAAACCAGAGCCACCCAGACGTATAGTGTGTGGAAGGAAGGCCCTTCTTCTCCGGGGCTCGCTGTTCCAGCGTCTGCTGCCAGGGGGCGCTTCACCCTGCATTCATTCTGTCCACCCTGGGGGAGGCTTCTGAGCTCTAGGCAGGATGGGCCCTGTGCCAAGGCCTGTGGAGTGTACCACCTGCTTCTGTCCTTAACACGTAAGACGTAAACGTACACGAGTACTGTTTGGCCTCAGAGAGGATTTTAAAGGAAGGGAACTGGACCAGGGGTGGACCTTGGCTCTCGCCCCTGACTGCTTCCTGAGCTATCCCTTTTGCCTGGGTGCACTTCCTTCTAGCTGTCACTGGGAGAGAACCTTCCAGAATGTTGGGATGGAAGCTCACCGGGACGTTGATCTGGACGCCATCACAGTCCCCCCTGTGCTGGTTCACCTGAGATGCTCCGTTACTACAGAAGGAGTCATAGGTGACTCTCAGGGTGTCGGGGAGGGTGCTGTGATCCAAGAAGACCCTGGAGGACAGTTTCTGTGGACAAAGTGCGGCTGTTGGTTAAGGAGCACTTTCCTGCTGTCCCCAGGCCTCACCTGGCGATGGCTTCTGCACACCTCCTGCTTCTCATCCCTTCCCTCTGCCCACATGCACACGGAGAGCGGGGGAGGTGCCTGGTCCTGGGCCCTGTGCAAGGGCTGGTGGGGTTAGCCATGCCACGGCCTTGCCAGTGAGGGGACTGACATGGAGGCAGACCACAGCCCCGCTCACCACTGCATCCCCAGCGACTGGCACAGGGAGGAGCTCGAGAACTGTTTGAGTGAGTGAGAGACAGAGAGAGATAGTCAGAGAGATGAAGGAAAGGAAGTGACAGAGAAAAAGAAAGACAGAGAGAGAGGGGAAGAGACTGGTGAATGAGCCAATGACAGTAGCACCATCCATGCAAAGACCCGAAACATCCACAGGCAGCGTCTGGGGTTCAGGTGGCCTGTTTTAGGGGTTGAGGGCTCCAAAAGGGTCTGAGAAGCCATCAGAACCTCCTCAACTGGGCTCTAACTTAATTCTGTGGCATCAGTGTTTATGGGGTGCTCCCAGCAAGCCGTGAGGCCACCAGAAGGAGGTCCTGGCACTTGTGTTTCAGAGAAGAGAATGGTGGGGGTCCAGAGTGGCACCTACCATGCCATCAGCTAGAGAGGACGCAGCTGCCCTTTGAGAAGTCCAGGAGGCCTGAGGGTGGCCCATCGGAAGCAGGGCTCTCCTCTCCAGACCACCCCTCTGTTGACCTGCAGGGTCTGCACTGAGCACCCGGGTCCCACCCGAGCCCCGTGGGGACTCACGTTGTAGGCGTTCTTAATGAGCTGGACCACGTTGCTGGAGTCGTCCGACAGCTCCCCGACGGCCGACTTGGGGATGATGTCGCTGAGCTTCTGTCGGGCAAGAAGACCAGAGGGTCACGGCTGGAGCCCTGGGGCCACAGAAACCTCAGCGACCACTGGTTCGTAACGCCCCAGAGGGTTCCTTCTCGCTGGTGCGATGGCGCAGACAGTCACACACCCGATTTCTTCCAGTATTTCATGGACTAGGGATCAATCCTCTTTCATCCACACAAATGTCACGTGGCAGAAGGGGGTGTTGGGCTCCCCATCAGCAGCGTTCACGCCCTCAAACCTATGGTCCCTGCATGGCCTCCTGCCCACACGCCCGACACAGGAAAGCGGAATCAGCCTGTGGTGACACTAGGCTTTGTCAACATCCAGCTGAAGTGCCCGTGCCCCGCCCTGTCATTCAAGGCCGCGGGGTCCACGTACCTCATAGGTTTTCACCATTTTTTTGGTCACGGCAAAGATGGGCTGGATGTTGCTTTCGGCCAGCTTGTGCGCCAGCTGGCCCACTGACGGGTAGTCCTAGACAGGAGATGGCTGATCAGTCACCCCGAGGCCGGGACTGGCTGTCCAGGCTGCCCATCCCTACCGCCCCGCAGAAGCCACCGCCCAGGGCCCAGAGACTGAGTCCTTCCACATGCCATCGGCGGCCCCTGCCAAATGATGTTGACAAGTACATAAAATAGGAGGATTGTGAAGGAAACCAGTTAAAAATAGGCACGGTTTCAGGAACATTAAAGTTGTGATGTGCTTTTGATCCTGGCCCTGAAGAAACCTAGTGGCGGTTCACCACCCCCAGACATTTGAAGTAGAGACGAGAGTAAGCATAAATTTGAGGTGCCCACATTGTGGGGTGCTGAGGAGTCCTCTGACTTCTATCAGGGCAGAATCTCAGACATTGCCCCCAGCACGGGCACCTATTTTCACAATTGAAAGACATTCTCAATTTCAGGCAGAGGTTCCCCCAAATCTCTGATGTCATGTTGGTCCAAGTCATGCACCCCTGAAATCTATCTACCAACACCCACCCCAGGAGTCTGTGGGCTCTGGATAGAGGTCCCCAGAGTTGTCCCATTTCTAAAGCCCTCTGCAGTGCACAGACTTTATAGTTTCAGGGTTCAGAGTATCATTTCCCAACAGGCCAGACAAACTCCTGTGGGAGGGGGTTCAGACCCACGCTGTACCCCCAAAGCAGGGAATGTCTGACCCTTCTGTGCTATTAAAAGTACTCCACCCAAAGGACGGGCTCCTTCCTGCCCCCCTGCACCCCCGGCTGTGCTCTGTCAGCGGGCCTGGAGTGGCCCTGGCCTCCNGCAGCAGGAGCGCTCAGCAGCGGAAGTCCAGTGGGCAAAGAGGACCCAGTTTGGTTTCTGCAAACCCTGCTCCGAGTCTGTGTCACGTGCTTCCCTTCCCAGCCATGTCATTTGTCACTATCCTGGCTGTGTGCATATGGATGAGGACAAGGAATGTATGGTGTTTGTCCACTTCTTCTTCATGGTGCCCGGATCATAGCCGTGCCCCATTCATGCTCTTGGAACGAATGGGAGTTTTTGAATCAAGAGTTATGCGGGGATTGTAATAGAGAACTATGTATTTCCAGGGGAAAATACACACCCCTGTCCACACCCATCACCTCTCATATCTGTGCAAGATGGAGGTGAGACAGCGGGCACTGCTGTGGGTGCAGAGGGTGCCAGGGTCTTGGACCCTGGCCCTTTCCCCAGGGACCGCGGTACCCCCACCCTCACGGCCTCCGCGGCCACACTCACACCGAGCCTGCTGACACGATGCAGATTGTCCAGCACTCACATGCCTGGTCCTCACACACGGAGAACCACGTACAGTAATTACACAAGACTCAGCTGGCGCCCTTGGCTGAGTGGCACTGGGCCAGCGATGATTTCCAGATCCTCCCATGAGGGGTCCATGAGAAACCACTCACTTTAGACTCTCGGCCTGCCTCCCACTGCGCTATTCCCTAAGAGCAGGTGTAGACACTGGAGAGGAGGCGCGGGAAGCCCATTTCCAGGCTGCTCTCAGCGATCAGGCTCCGCAGGGCCCCCAAGTCTTCTGAAAGCTGCTTAGATGTGGGGCAGGAACGAGGACCCAGAGGGGTGTTGTATGCACAGCCAGCAGGTGAGGAAAGAGACAAGAAAGTAGAGCCCCAGGCCCCCACCAGCTACCTGGACCCTCGAAGTGTGACAAGAGCAGGGAGCAGGAGGGAGGATGTAGCGCGCAGAGCTCAGCTTCCAGGGCAGCCGCTATGGAAGCTTATTATTATTATTATTATTTTAGCTGAGCCATCCTGCCACCTTTTGGCAGCTCAGCAGCTGCTCAGCTCGGGTTGGGAATCGAACCACTGTTGCTCAGAGCTCGCACGCACTCTTGAGCGAGCTCTTAGCCAACTGAGCCACTCGGCGGCCCTATTACTTTTTCTTATTACTGTTTCTACACACACAATGGGGACCAGTATAATCAATGGATGTGGTTTTATACCCTGATAAGTGCAAATATAAATACATTTTTAACATGTTTAATTAGACTGCCATCCTGGCTTTTACAGAGGAAAGCATGTTATCTAACCTCGTCAGACTCCGGCAATCCCTTTTTCAAGCCTCTATCAAAAAGGTCATGCAAGTAAGAAGGGTGGCTGCTTCTGAGAGCCCATGGAGTCACCTGGCCGCATCTGCCATTTTGAGGGCAGAAGAAACTGCATTTTCAGTTAATGGCTGAAGTTGCCAGGCATTGGAGCCATGTCTGCAGGCGGTGTGGTTTGGGGGTGCTTCCATCTGGCCGGTTCAGACGGCTCTGTCTTCATGGAGTGCCCCTAACTCTCAGCAAACTTAGGGTTCATGACTGTCGTGGTGGCGCTCTTGAAAAGGGGGTTATCCTGGTGAGAAAAGCCAGTGGGACTTGTGAGTGCAGGGGTGGGGGAGGGAGGAACGGGGTGACCCTCCCTCAGTCCCAGCCAGTGTGACAGGGCTTGTTCACAGCAGGGGACAGTCTGAGGTGGGGGGGGG